TATGTTTACGTAGTGAACTTGGAGTATTATAAAAAATAATTATATTATAGTTTCTTTACTAATCCTTTTCTTTCAAAATATAGTTAAAATTGTTGGATTATTTGCAATGACGTTTTCTTTTGCTTAGCTGTTTGAAAAGTCGAAATATTACATTTAAATTATTTAGCAATATAGAATCGAATAAGAAAATTAAAGATGTTTTTTTTTTTCTGATAAAATATCATTCAACAAAAGCTATGCAAATATGTGAGAGTCATGCTACCGAAGTCACTAGATAGAGAAGGTTGAATAGTTTATTTACAAGAACGAAGATTCATTCGATATTTACTAATGAATATAAATGGAATAGATTATGGAGAAAATTAGCTTTTAAGCAAAGTATTAAGAAAAACATAGCAAGTAAGAATAGATTACTTATTAGGATAGGAGTATTAATGGAAAACGACAGTTCATTACATAAATCTTTTATTTTCATGTCATTCTATTTAGTTTTTATTAATAAATTTTTATCCGATCTTCTGTTTGTTTTTTAGAAAAAAAGAATATCTAATTAAGTACACTATTGAAGAAAGAGTATATACCTGTTTGCTGAAGTATATTTTGTAGAAAATACTGCCATAGTAATTTCATCTATATTATATTACTTTTACGTCTCAGTTTAAGTTTCTCAGGAATGTATAGATTAACATATAATCTAAAAGCGACCAAGGTTTTGATTGGCGCAACAATGGAAAAATATTAAATGTGTCGAATTTCATCAATAGACAGTTGAATACTTCTTTCTCTCTAATGAGTAGTCGATTGAAATATTTCAGTAGGGAACCTATCAATATCTGTTTGAAAAGTGACTCTGTCAATATTTCAAAAATCCGATCTCTCATCTGCTACATCCTCTGGTTTGTGCGAAATAATAATCATTTGCTTTTTTCGTATCAGTTCACACACATTGATTCAAAAATAAATTAACTTCATGAAAAAGTTTCCTCACATTCGTGATAGCGATCTTGATTGTGGATTTCGATAGAGAAAAAGAGTACAAAACGTGAGCTATCCATCGACGATCATAGAAAGAGTTCATAAGCTACGAAAGTCGAGAATGTACAAACACTTTTAATTATCAAGAAACAAAAAGATAAAATTTTCATTTCAAAATTACGAATGAATTCATTACAAAAAAGTTTATTCTTTCTTTTTCAAAACAAACAAAAAGAATTCAAATAAGATAAAGAAGAACAAAAAATCAAAAGATTTTGTTTTCATCTTGTATAAAATAATCCTGATTGAAATCCATATTCAATAAGTTCTTCTTTTGTCATCTTAAATTGACTTAATTTCCACTGTTCTTTCAAATGTCGTAGAGAATATGAAAAATTTCTATTAGACATCAAATCATTTTGTTGAAGATCCCATGCATCTATAGGAAATTTTGGTATAGGCTATTGTTTAATCTCATCAATAAGATAAATCTTGGGTGTGAGTGTGGCGAGCAATTGTGACATGTTTGCATCATGCTCAATGGTTTCATCAGTTAGTTTTGACTAAGTTTCTGTTCATACCAGACTTGAAATCGAGACCGGACTGACCGGTTTTTGCCAATTTTTTTAACAACTTTTATGGTCCACAAATATTAGCACGAAAGTTTTCAATTGGAAGATTTCTAGTTGTCATCCAAATGTTAGCTCTAAATTTTAAGCCCAGACTTTTTCGTAACACAATAAGAGCCTTGGAGTATGATGCATGTTTGGATAAGATAGTTTTACAAAAGACTCAGCTGAAAAATTCTATATTTTACGCTATTTGTTTGTATTGCGTGTATAAAAATCCGCCCATTAGTTTCAATTCATTCTTTCATTATACAAGTATCATAAAATACTCTGTTTTGCCAATTTTTACTTCATGCAACCGTGACAATATCTAGGTGTTACGAAAACTAAAAATTTTCAGTCTAGCATAAAAAGCTACTTTTAATAGCTCACTTTGCCCTAGTATCGACAAGAGTAGCCTTAAACAAATTGAGAAGATTTTCAGGTTGCGTTAAATAATGACTTAAAATAAGCAAACATCAAATTTATTAGTTCTCGTTAAGAAAATATATCGTTATTGTAGGAAACCACAAAAAACAAAGCGTAGATGCAAATATCCACTTGTGAATAAACAATGATCGATCAGAAGAATAATCGATTATTATCTTGGTTTTGATTCAATGTAATTGGAAAGGGAGGAATGACAGACTTGACAAAAATCAAAACTAAACCTAAACGGTTGGTACTAGCCATCCATGATATCGTACAATTAATCCTATGAGTATATGTTTGATTTCAACATGAAAACAAGGACGACCATCATGATCAAATTCATAGAAGTCTCCATGTGGTGCTAAAAATACTGGTAGTCGAATGCCAAATAAAGTCCAGCTACGCACAATAAAATGCAGCTTCCCAGCAGTAACCACTAACGCCAGACCAAAAGTAAATGGTCCGAATCGTTCCATCAACAACCTATCTGAATGGCCAGAACCTTTTGTATGCCAACTAGAAAACGATTTGTCCGCGAAAGTTCGAGTCCACAATTCACCGTTTGTCTCGCGCTGAAACACAACTTGAACTGGTACATTTTTTCCTGATTTCGGAAAGCCAACTAACATCGTAATACATCGAGATATGATACTGGTGCCTCGTTCAATTTGAGCAACACCTACTACCTTGACAATGTTCTTACTGTGCAACGTTTGCAAAGACGGTGGTAGGTGATTCCACGCTTGACCGAGCAATTGTTGATATAGAGGTTGTGACTCGGAGAAATCGTTTGTTTTCCTCGATTCACACTGGCCTGTATAAATAGCATGATTCTGAAATATTTTTTCGTAGTCGTCAAGTTCAAGATCCATAGTTGCAGCTCGAGCACCACTTGCCGGCTTTTTACCATCTAATACACGGCGAACAATCGCTTCAATACCCATCGAAGGAATAAACGGACCTGCATCACCTTCAGCTAATAGATGCCATGATCGCTCTTGTTTTTGACCGTCTCTATCGTTTCCTTCAATTGCAACAAACATTCCGCCACGGTGCTCGCCCCAACGTACTACATTCGTTACCCAATGAAACAATGGTGCAAACGGTGTCAAACTAGGAATTAGCCGCCATCGAACCAACCATGCAAGACCATTGAGAGCACGATGCAAAGTTTCTGGTACTGTTCCCGCACCGATCCAAATTGAATCGATATTTGGCCACAAATCAGGTAAGATCTTAAGATCAGGTACATCCACTAATGAAAACCGACGATTGAACAAGGGAAGATGGCCAGGTGGACATATTGTGTAACGCATCGTCTCTGTCAATGCATAGCTAAATGTTTGCTGACTCCTTCGAATCAAAGCCACGCGTTGACCTGAGTAACTTGCAATTGCACGAATAACATTCACACCAACGCCAGCATACGGCGATGGTGCAATACCACTTTTGATCGAATGTATTCTTGTCAGTCCTTTTGCTAAATGCCGAACTACAGTAGCAGTCAATAGAGGACACGTGCTGGCACCGGAAAGTACGTATATATTGTTCTCCTTGGCTTGCGCATCGAACTGAGTGACACCTTGAACGAAAGTTGATCCATCAGCGAAGTCGAGATAATTAATTGACGTTGTCAAACATGCTTTTATCACTCGATAAGGATCTTTGATATAGGATTGAAATGGACCACTCGCATCGACTAATAAATCAGGTTGAATGAACCGTAATTGTTTTTCAATATCTGAATTATCACGATCAAAATGGAGTGCACATGTAGTGGCTGCATAGCCATGTAGTTTGTTGCACAAGTCTTCTGCATGCTTAATCGATCTACCTGCAATAAGTAATGTTAGTTGTGATTCATTGGCAAGCAACCGTACCAATCGACTACCAAATGTCCCATAACCACCAAGAATGAGAATTTTCATCTAAAGAATGATGAACTTAATTCTTTTTTTCCTTGAAATTCAACGTTGTTCTGAAACTACAAAGTGTGTTGTGTGCAATAAGCCAATGCAAAGTCAAAACAATGTTTCACCATACCATTTTATCGTATTGTTACTACTAATGAGGAAAAACACTCCATTGCTCAACACAGAACAGTAAAAGAAAAATATCCATCTCAAACGTGGTGTGTTTGTTCTCTCGTTAGCTCGGTTGACGAAGTGTATATTGCAATGAATGGAAGTGATCAAATTACGTTATTTTTAAAACTAACTTATTCTGGTTGTTGATGAGTAAAAATCAATGTGATAAGTATCAGATCTCACTTTACAACCTTACAAAAATTAGCTAGGAATTCATCACGAAAAGATCTAGAAAAAGTACTGATTTTCTATCACAGCAATAAGTTATTTTCAAAACTAACGTAACTTTATCATGTCTAGCAGTGAAGGGAGAAAAAAACTGCAGTGTTGGAGAGAAGAGAACGATATTACTCACTTAAGGGAACTTGATGGTAAACGTTGGAAAACAGCTACCAACGTCATCTTTTAGTTGATCACAGAAACAGCGTGAAAAGGCTTTTCAAAAAGCGCGTCTATCATCTGCTTATTTTTTCAAATTAGGTTATTTTTCCGTTTAATTACCAAAAGTGTGTACACTAATCGATAGTTTGAACTCTTGCAGGCGAAACGTTTATAAGAATACTATGCGATATCTTAACCAAGCTTTTTATTGTGACGATTTTGCTTGAACCTATTATGTTTTACTATTTTTTCAGTTCCAAAGTTTATTTTCAATAGCCATTGTGTCCGCTACTTGATTTTTATGTATTGTTGCTATTCTCAAACTTCACATGGATATTTCTAATTGACGCTCGACATCATATCTCGGTCGATTTTTTTTCTGAATTGCGAGACTTGAATCGATTGAAATATTGAAGCATGTCATCAAAAAGGCCATTTTATGTCAATCGATTGTATTTCAATCAACATGGTTCATTTACTTGTCAGGTGATTAAAAAGCGATGCTATTTTTCTGTGATGTCACTGTCGCCTCGTTTTTTTATTCTAGTAATATTGAACATTGATATATCCAAGCCTACATGATTATGTTTATTCCTTTTGTGATTATAGAATCTTTACAACTTCCAAGGTCTTAATGTGATAAGAGTATTAATGATATAACACAGTCACATTCAACTGATAACAAGTTTATTAATATCATACAAATAATCATACGCAAACAAAAAAAGTTCTTGCATCATCGGAGGTAGATTGGAATCAAATTTAAACTTTGAGAAAAATAATAAATGAACGAGCTAAACTAATACGTATTTTCTTTTTTTTCATAGAACCTTGATCTGATATAAAACAGCATTTCTAAAAGAAAAATAAATAAATATATAAACATTAAAAATATACACATCATCAATTAGAAAAGGATCACAGTTGAATTCTCAGTTCTGGTTCAGTTGGTTCTATACTAAGAGAAAAAAGATACGAATGTAATGATACAAAAAATACAAACGTTCATTAAAGTGAGATGAACTTGTCTATATTTACTAGTTGTAATTGCACTATTCATACTTAAAAGTAATTATGACTTTATATAAAAAATTTGATTGATATTAATCACAGCTGCATATTCATATTTATCCATGAATTATCAACTATTAACGTACAACACATTTATGTTTCATTGACGAGTCGTATTTTTAAATTTGAAAAAATGTCTCAGCACCAAGCTCAGCACGCTTATTCATGCACTAAATCAACTTATCTTTTCCATTGTGATCAGTGTCATTGATAATATGGCTTAACATCTAGTAGTTATGTAAAAACAATAATGAACATATTAACATTTTTTTCAAAAACTTAATTTCAAGTTTTTGATTTTATTTGGTTCCATCTATTTATCCGAAAACGAGAAAAAAAAACTTTGATTTTATTTTCTTAAATCTCACGGTGAGGATTTTGGAACAGTTGTGAAAGTGGGCGATGTTGTACGAGGCTATGTAAGCGGAGGTGTGTGGCAGAAGGTGTAAATCCTCAGCAAGTCATAATCAATTCCCATTGCAAAGTCAAAGAATAGACCGACGACACCGATTACGAAAGAAGTGCCATAATTAGCTATCATCTAGAACAGAAACAACGGTATAAGTGTTTTTTTTTTTGGCGGGCTACTATGAACGAGGTAAGGATTGAACTAATGCATGCATTATTTTGAAACGATGACACTTCATTCGATTTAAAACTGTTTTCTTATCTTCGTCGTGAAAATGATTGTTAGCGACTAACATCGAAAAAAATAATATCAACCGGTCGAAAAGTTTTATACTATCATAGAAAGAGTGTTATCATAGGAAAATTAAGTGAAATTTAATAAGAAAGAAAGAAAAGAAATGTTGCCATAGTAGAAGTAATGAATCAGTCTCAACTGTATAGATTTATATGTTTCAACTTGATTTGATCTATAAACAATGAACCTTTTATTCTTTTTTTCTTATTTACAAATACATGCAATAAATATTCACAATATTGTTGAAAATAAAGGGTGAACTAGCTCTATACAACTCTCGCATTCATCAGACTGTTGACGTATTATTCGAGCTAAGGCAACAATTGAAATGGTAAACCACTGATTGCACCGAAAAAACTGATGTCAATCCGAAAATTAGCAAGTGAATTGAGTATTTCATGGACAAGTTTGCAGCGAATAGTTAAAAGTGATCTGAATCTTCAACTGAACAGAAAAATGTCCCAGTCATTGCTGACCGACGAGCATAAAGACCAACGAAAAAAAGTTTGCTAATTGAGTCTGAAAAAATTCTCGAAGGATTGAGACAATAGAAACTCTCCTGTTTGATACGAACCTGGTCGACATCAACGATGCTTATAACACTTAAAACAATCGAGTGTGAGCAATAGATGTTGCAAGGGGTTTCACCGTTAGTCGTCTTTGAAGAAGGCTTCATCGATCATGCTCACTATATACAAGAGGTTTTTCCTGGAATACTGAAACACAGCAACGAAATCTGCGGATTTCCATCATTCATTGATAGAGATCATTGGCCTCCCAGTAGTTCTAATTTAAGTCCTTTCGAGTATTCGATCTGGGATGAGTTTATTCGTGTTATACAGTAGGACAAAGTACCATCTAAGAAGACTTTGATTGAAGAACTCAAACGATTTGTCAAGAAAACTCGATCAGAAGTTGTGTTTGAAAGTTGTTCATTTTGGGTTCCTTGATTATATCATATGTTAAAAAAGAACAATTGTTATCGACATTAATAGAATAAACATGATTTTATAGAGCATTGAAAGACGAATCTTTTGAAAGAGATATTCTCAAAATACTCAGTGTAACATTTGTTCTGAGCCACCCTTTAGAAGCTAAGGAGAACTAGAAAGATACGAATACTCAGAACATTCCACGCCTCCTGTTTATGCTAGAGTAAGATAATTTAATCTAACATTTATATTTAATACAATTCTGTAGTTCATATATGAGAATTGACCCATAGTCTCAAGATTTTGTTTGTTATTATCATCCTGATGAATACATTTCTCTTCGTATATGTATTCGACATGTAATTATATAAGCCATATACAATCGACATTTTGATTATTTTGAACTCTCTTCTACTATATTAAATAGTCTTCAAAATTTACCGCCTGATCAAGATTAATAGCATGATTGTAAATGAGCTTCCGTCTCTCCAAGACTGGCAATCTTCTTCGCTGTATGTTGCAAATAAAAGTGATTTGTCATTTAGTTTAGTATTGGTAACTGATTTTTGTTCTCTTTTTAACAAAATTCGCAATTTAGATTTCGAATTTTAAGATCAAAATGTTTAAACATACAACAAACGTATCTATGGCTTCGAAATCACAGAGGAGATCAACTAGCTTATAGCAATAAATAGTTAAACAACCGAAAATAGAGTATTTCTATCCTCCCAAGCTGATTATTACATCTGTAATTTGTTCAAGAAAAGAATAATTGCTCAAATTTCAGACAATCTTTTACATAAATATCAAATGCAAGAACATGATAGTTAGTAAACCGCAGGTTATGAAATGTCGAAGCTTCCATATATTATGCTTTTGATAAAAATTAAATTCAAGCGACAAAGGTTCTCTTATTAGAATGTCCACTATCTATATCAATAGACAACTGAAAACTACTTTCTCTATCACGTATAGTTGATTGGGATATTTTTTTATGCAACCTGTCAATGTCAGTTCGACAGACGACTGCGTTCATTTTTCAAAATTCCGATCTTGCATTTACTATATCCTGTGGTTTGTGCGAAATAATAACCATTTGAGTTTTTCGAATCGGTTCACATTGATTGGAAAACAAATTAGCTTTATGAAAAAGTTTCTCAACACTTAAGACAGTGCTCTTGATTGTTAATTTTGATATAGAAAAGAGTACAGAGCTTGGGTTATCCATCAATGATTGTAGAAATTTTTCATGTTACACAAGTTGAAAGTAATGAAACAACCTATATTTATTCAGGTATTTTTTGGATGAGCTGTAAATTCACATGAACTTGGCATTAAAATTACAAACGAATTCATTACAAAAAAGTTTATTCTTTCTTTTTCAAAACAAACAAAAAGAATTCAAATAAGATAAAGAAGAACAAAAAATCAAAAGATTTTGTTTTCATCTTTTATAAAATAATCCTGATTGAAATCCATATTCAATAAGTTCTTCTTTTGTCATCTTAAATTGACTTAATTTCCATTGTTCTTTCAAATGTCGTAGAAAATATGAAAAATTTCTATTAGATATTAAACCATTTTGTTGAAGATCCCATGCATCTATAGGAAACTTTGGAATAGACCATTGTTTAATCTCATCAATAAGATAAATATAACCTTGATATTTAAGTAATTCAATAATATATTGATGTCGAATATTTTGTTGATTTTGATGACTATTAATAATAAATTCTTTATATGAATAAAGTAAATCATTGTTATTCATTGGTTGTATTGAATAACGATAATCAAGTAAAAATTGACCAAGATTTTTATGATGTGATGAGCATTTTAGATGTTTACAAAATGTATCAAACTAAACGGAGATAAATTATTTCTTTTTGGAATTCTTTCTTTCACTTTTTATTTTTTGTTTACTTCTTCTTGATCACTAAAAAGTGTAACAAGTAATGTCATGGGTTCTGGTTGATAATTCATACATCTTAACCATCGATTTTCTAATTCAAACATTTCTACAGATGATTCAGGTAAACCTTTTGAAAGAAATGATAAAAAGAAAATAAAACATTAGAATAAATTAGAAAAAAAAAGACCTTCGCGCACCCAATAGTGGGGCTAATTGTTGTTCAAGAATTGTTCTCATTATATGTCCAGCAAAACGACCACGAAGAATAAGTTTTAATTCAATCCAAATCTTTTCACCAGAAACATCTATAATTTTATTCACTACATTCATTTAGTCCAAAGAGATAATAAAAAATCTTTTTATACCTTTTAAAGTCATAGCACATTTCTGAATAGCTTCTAATACATCAGATTCATGTGCAAACGGATTAGATGATAGACGACCAAAGAATCTAGAATTGAAAAAAGAAAATATTTGTTTCAAATCTATGAAAATATGTTAATTCAACCGAAAATAACGTAAAATTCGAATAGGATTTTCTTGTAATTGTCTAATAATATTTCCATTAAAACGAATTCGATTCATTTTTAAATCATCAATTCCATTTGTATAATCATAGATAATTCCATGTTCATCCATTGATAAACTATTTATTGATAAATCTCTTTGTTTGGCATCAATATTCCAATTATCAGTAAATTCAACAGATACATCTTTACCACGACGAATAATTGATCTTTTTAAAGTTGTTACTTGAAATGTTTTCTATTTTTTTTTTTTCGTAATCAAATAAAATGAAAATATCTCTTTTTAAATAAAATAACTTAACTTACTCGGATAGTTGTACCAACAATAAGTGTTAATGTTCCGAAATGTTCAGCACGTGTATAAATAAGTTCAATATTTGAATCACCTTGAATAAGTTTTAACATATCATTTGTTGTTGCTGTTGTTGCTAAATCAATATCATGTGGTGAAACACCAAGTAAAATATCTCGAACAGCTCCACCAACAATTCGTATCGAATAATCATATTCATTAAATAAAGAGAAGAGATAGATTAATTGACATGAAAATAAATGTTGATATTCAGATGGATTTAATTGATAACAACGAACGGATGATGACATTCTCTGAAGCTCAGAATAAAATAAATAAATAATCATATATGTACAAAATGAATCATTCTTGTTTATCTTTAAACTAAACTACTAAATGTATATCATGTGCTAAAGTGATATGATAAGGAAGAATAAATCAGTTATGTACAATGAAAATTACCCAATATTAAACAAGATAAAATCCGATTGTGTATTCAATAAACAACATATCAAATAATGATTAGAAGTCTTGAAATATAGTTTATACTTTTTCAAAATGAGCTTGATACGATTGGATTTTTTTGTTTTGATGATAAAAAGTGCATTGATAGCATTTGAAGAATTATTTTTTAATTGTCAATGTTAAAATTTTTGTTTTTAACATTTAATATTTATTTGTTCCTTGAAAGGTTAACAAATTCAACGCTAATAGGGTTACAAATACATCCGTTGAGAAAATGAACTCTTCGTATTTCTTTAATCTTTGTTGTTTAACATGTTTAGAAATAATACATTGAGTATAGAAACAAACATAGACATGAAAGAGATAGTACATTATTGATAGTATATAGCATGTTTTAGATGATGCACTTAATGAACATAGACTATTGAGTGGAGTATACATCTAAGATAAAATAAATTTAGCGTTTGTTATCATCTATTAATTATTTCATTAGTTTATTTTCCGTTATTTTCTATGGTGGTCTTGGAAAATATTTTAGGATAAACCACTCAAGTATCGATGAAGATGTTTTATATATTCCTAATTGTTTTTTATGAGTGTTGAAAAACATGAGTAGATCGAGTTTTGAATGCATTGCTCTTTCTGATAATCTATGAGGAAATTTAGCATTTTTTTGAAAAGCCACAGCTTTTATAATATTCTTTCGATGGAGAAGTGGCTATTAGGAACGCTGTCCATGTTTGTTGGTATGTCACAGCCTCTAGTGATTCTTCTAGATATTTTTCAAATCTGACCCAGAATTTATATATATAATCTCTTAGCGAATCTTCTTGAAATATGACTAAGGTAGTTATATCGTCCCATCCCCAGATATTATATACTATTCTCAATCCTGTTCCATATGTGTGCTCTATGGCAGCTTATTGTTTTTCAGTATAAAAGAACCATGTTGAGAATAGCCATATAAAGTGAGGTAGGGCATATGCATAGAAAAGTTTTTTACGTATTTATATTTCATTTTTAGGAATCGCTATAAACATTTTCTTCAGTCCTGTATATATATATATATATATAGCGTACTTTGCATAATCTATCATTTATGAAATTTCCCATCCTAATTTTGAACCGTTCTCTATTCCTAAGTATTTAAATGATTTTACATATTCTATTGGGACATTCTTATACTCTATTTTTGGCTTCACTGCTGTTACTGCGCTATGTATTAACATTGCGGTTGTTTTTGAAACATTCACAGGTAAAAGCAAATCTTCCGCAAATTTTTCGAGTGATTTTAATACAATCTTTGCTTGTCTTTCAAGATATTTGATATTATCCGATAATTTCATCTCTAGTGCTCCTTTAACAACCATTGTTAGATCATCTGCAAATAAATGAGACACAATTTGAGCAAAATAACCAGGCAATAAAATTGTCAATGTTAAAATTTAGAAACATGTTTTGAACTTATTTACTTGTAGATTTCAATTTTAGTCGGAATTTTTTCTTTTATGTAAAATAAAAAAAGTCACATAAAAAAAACAAAATAATATTCGAGTTTATTTTACAGAATATGCGCTGACACACAGTTGTTGCTCTTTAATAACAATGGAATAATAATTTTTAATTTTGTTTAGTTTTTTTCGAAAGAGAAGAAGATGTTGGTGAATTTGTATTTACTAAATTTTTTAATACATGTGGTAAAGATTCATCAATTAATTGATTTTCTGTAGCTTGAAAATGTGATTCTTTCCAAGCTTCTCGAAGTTTATCAAGTATTATTTTATAATTTGGTCCTTGTTTAATACCTTTTGATGCAAGCGTTCCACCTGAAACAGGAAAACGTGGTATTGTCCATACAGATAATTGTTGTGCTTCAGTTAAATGATGTTGATATTTAAGTAATTCAACTATTTTTTCTTTTGCAGTTGGATCCTGTATAATTAAATCAACAAGTAAATCTTTGTATGATTTCAATCGGTCAATTGATGAAGAATCAAGAATTGATATTGAATCTCGATAATTGATAATTAATTGAGCTAGACGACGACAATCATTGGAATATTTCATACGTTGTTCAAATATACCTATCTAAATTCAATATTAAAATAAAATTTAGTCTAATAGATCGATTTAAATGTATTATGATTGTACTTTAAAAGATAAAATCCGAACATTATTCGATCAAGTTTATTTTCAATTTTGTTTTTCATTGTCATAAACGCTAATAAGAATTCAAATAGTAATTTTTTTTAGAGAAGTTTATTTCCAACAGGAATTTTCGAAGATGAAAAGTATTGCTAGTTTTCAGCATCAGCCAAAAACTATTGTAAAGAGCGGGAAAACATTTCATTTTGTAAACAATTATCTGTTCCATCATTCTTGATAATTCAAACAAAGTTCTATTTGCGAGTTTCTAGAATCTGACAAATATTTTTGTTGAAATTGAAATTCTCTTGGCAAATCACTGTTGAGATCCTTATTGGCATTTACTGAAGTGGAAAAAAAAATTGAAAATAAACCTAGTTGAATAACTTTGTTTCTTCTTATTGTGTTTAATGATTAGTGAATTAAACTCTAAGAAATATTTTTGTTAATTTTTTTTTTTTCTATTAGCAATTGATTTATTATATAATTAATTATACTATTTTATATCAATTGAAATAATTGATTAATGTTATACTTTTGATTTATTAACTTACTTCATGTGTATTACGAAAAAGTTTCGTTAATACAGTCATTGCAAGTGGTTTAGCTTGATAACATTGTCGGTAATGATCATCAAAGTCATTAAGATCAACATCAGATGGAATGCCTTCGATTAAATTATTTATTATTATATTAACAAACGAAAGATAAAATCTTACCAAGATATTGTCCAACATTTTGTTCAAGCATAACTTTTAATACAGGACCAGCATTTCTACCTTCTGCAATACGTTTTAATTCAACCCATAGACGTTCACCAGCAATATCTAAATAGAAAAATATAGTTTTTATATTTATGAAATTATTATTATACTTTGTAAACCATGAACATTTTCTCTAATTGCTTTTAATGATTGTTCATCGTGTAGAGCATTATCGTGTGCAAAACGACCAAAGAATCTTTTGTTTGTTTGTTTTTTTTTTAATAAATTTACAATAATAAAATATACAATTTTTAATTCTATTTACCGGAAATATCTGAGAATACGAAGATAATCTTCACAGATGCGTTGAACAGGATCCCCAACAAAACGAATACGACGATGTTTAAGATCTTCAATGCCATTAAAATAGTCATAAACTGTTCCGTCGAGATCTAAATAAGGAAAATAATATAATCAGTAATTATTCTTTTTTTTCTAAAACTAACCAAGAAAAAGTGCATTAATTGTAAGATCCCGTCGATTAGCATCTAATTGCCAATCTTGTGTATATTCAACAACAGCATGTCTACCATCAGTAGTAACATCAATTCTTAATGTTGTTACTTCAAAATTGTCCATATCATCTACTCGTGCTGTTATTGTTCCATGTTTCTCACCATTACAATTAATCATTCTTATGTTTGCCTTTGTTAACATATCTTTAACTTGTTCAGGTGTTGCTGTTGTTGCAAAATCAACATCATGTGGAATAATACCCAATAAAATATCTCGTACTGCACCACCAGCTACACGAATTTCATATTGATTAGCTTTAAATAATTCTGCCAATTTCAATAGAGATGGTGTCAATAAAGCTCGATACTCAGGCGTATCTATTCTTTGTTTAATCAACATTTTTTGATATTTGTGAATATAAAATAACGAAGAAATTGAATCAGAATGATGACATATATATTACAATATCATCTAGAAAACATTTCGAAACAAAGAAAGAACAGAACACATCAGAAAAACAAATGATGCAATTACAAAGGAAGGAAAAAAAAAATAATACATCATTATTTTTTGCCACCTTTTTCAGCAGCAGCAGTAGCTCCACGTAAAAGTTTTGCTTGTTGAGCTTCTTCAGCTTCTTTAGCCTGTCTTTCATGAAGTGCACGTAATTCTTCCATATATTTCGTTTGTTCTTCAACATTCAATGTACTAACAACTTCCATACCAAGTTTATTAGCATGTTGAATTAATATACGACACATTTCTTTCATTGTTAAGCCTTGATAAGGTTCATCTAGAGATTAAAAAGAAACTATTGGCATATCTTTTAACTTAATCCTTCAGAAATGCAATAAGCCAGTCGTTTAACAAGACATTATTGATCGTCATGATATTACCTTGAAGTTTCACTTTGGCTATTTCATAGATGTGTTTAACACTTATTCGACCACCAGGTTCTTTGCCTTTGAAAAAGATAAGATTGATTTAAAAAGAGACTAAGAATAGAAACCAACCAATATTAATTGCTGGTCGTTTAAGACCAGCTGCTTGCAGGAGAAGATGTTCGATTGTTGGCGTATAAAAAACCAATTCATATGTTCGATCAGGCTAAAAGGATTTTAAAAAATTATTGATTCAGTCGAATAAAAAAAAACAGTTTATAGATAACTAACTTTAACATAAACATGACATGGTAAAGGTATTCCTTCTTTATAATCTTTAGTTCTTTCATTGAAATCTTTACAAAATTGCGCAATATTTAATGAATGTTGACCAAGAATAGGACCAAGTGGTGGAGCTGGACTTGCTTGACCAGCTGGAATATCCATTTGAAAATATGGTTGAAGGATAACTTTAGATGCAACTGCCTTCAATTTTGAGGCCATTTTACCAACTAAAAAAAAAAATGAACAATACAAATTTTTCTTTATATCATTAAAAAAAAAGTAAATCAAATTACCTTGTTTTGAAGATGCCATTTTCGAAATTCTTTTTTAATATATAATCTAAAACAAAAGTTAAATAAACTTATTATTATTTATTTGTTGTTTTTAATGAAAGATTTTCAATATTTAAATCTTCATCTTCAGATGATTCAGATGGTGGCATATCACGATTAGGTGTATAATTATTAGTAAAACTTTCTTCTCCTGTTCGAAAACGTTTGTCACATTCGATTACAGCTTTTGCTGAATCACATTTTGCATATGCATCAAGTAATGATCCATTAAGTGTATAAAATCCATGTCCCCATTTAAATTTATCAAGTAATATTGAACCAAAATCTTGTAAACCAACAATAGCTAATGCTGCAGCAAATGCTTCAACACAAGATAATTGACAAGGTTTACCTAAATAATTAATACTAAATCATAAACAATGTCTAATAAGTTTTGATCCCTTTCAATTAATATTCTTTTCTTATACGCTTTCTCACTACAATAAGTTGATATTTATAGCACGTGTGCTAGACATCTGAATCTTCTCCGTGCTAGAAATCAAGCTTCCTATCTCGTATAATCACAAAGACACAAGGTAGCATAGAATTCATAAGAATCTTTTGAATTATTTTTACGAACAGCACAGATAAAAAAAAATTGTAGTTATTCTATCAATTTCTCATAAAAGATAATTTTTAATTTTTGGCGTTCAGTTATTTATTCACATGGTTATCAACAGTTTGGAACCGACTTCTCAAGATGATCGGAATAGTAAACATCGAACAATAATTCTGATGAATACTATTGAATCGTTATTTGATAAGCATATTAATTTTGAAATTACTAATGCAAAATTTACTCTCATTTGATCAATCAAGATAATGTCAGATGCAATTAGGGGGCAATTGAGAAGAAGTAGATTGAATGGTGTAAAAATGGAAAATGTTTACCATTGCAAATAGATGAGCATATTTCTTTCTTTCTTGTTATGTTCAAAGAATTTTGACTTGTAAATCTCGAATTTTATGTTACTTGTATCTTTATGACTATAAGAAGTAGAAAGCTCAAATTCTAGCGTAAAGTAGATCTAAATGTTACGTATATATAAATTGAAGAAGATCAAAACTTATTAAACAGCCTTTATAAATAAAATCAAATACCATAGTTAACATTATTAGTAGCAATAAGATAAGGAAGTAATCGTAAATGTTTGCCTTTCATTCGAGAAAATGGTGTTTCATCAAGTTTTGCCCATGAACAATCAACAACAGCAATACCATTTTCTAATACTATTTGTTTATCTTCAGGTGATACACATCGTTGACCAATAGGTGAAAGAATAATACCACCAAAATGACTACCTAATTTTAGTTGTTTAACAAATCCATGTCGAACAAGTTTACGGCCCGTACATCGTTTAGGATCACATTGATTAACATCCCACATAGCTAAAGGTACATGAATTTGTTCATTTTTTTCTTCGTCATCGTTATCTTCATTAGCAGAATGATATTGTTCTTCATCGGTATCAGATTTTGGAGCCCGATCAATATATTCTCGATCTTTATGATGTTTATCTTTTTTCGTTATTTTATGAGACATCTGTAAGAGAAAAAAAAATAACAAATAGAACTTCTCAACATTATTTTTCAATTTGACAATGAAGCAAATTTGTCTATAAGAAATGATTGACAAGATAAGCTCATTAAATTTTTTTATTGTTGCTTTTTTTTTGTATATATTTTTTTAAATGTTATTTATATTTGCAAATATATTTTTCAAGTGTTTGCATTTTAAAGCAATAAGTGAATCCATTCAGGTTTCTGATTGATGACAAAAATAATACTTGTCATGACCGTTGATCGTCATAGTTATTGCCATAATAATTTTAATAAGTAACAACAGGTAGGCGAAATGCAACAATCTTTTTTTCCTTCTCCATCAATGTTAACAACACCTTCTTTTTATATCAAAAAAATTCAATCGAGATTTCTTTTTTTACTTTCTTTTTTTGTCTTGGTCTTTCACATTTCTTCTCAAAAGCATTCATTTCCGTTTCGAACAAGCATCGATATTATTTTCTTTCTTAAAAAAAAACGAGAAATAGAAATGACAATATTGGATTTAAATGGAAAAATCACTAGAACAATTAAAACATATTGAACGAATATCACGACAAACACGTCGTCATCGAACATATTTAAATCAAATATGCGATCAAAATTTACGTACACAATTAAATCATTTAGATAACGAACGTGAACAAACTATTATACGTTCAACATCACGTCGACAACTTGAAGAAGAACGAAAACAATTGCTCAATATTACGATTACACAAATTGCAAGAGAACGACAACAAGAACCTTTACGAATAAATACAACACAAATCGAACAAGAAACAATTCAACAACTTTCAAAGGATAATGGTAAATAATAATAGTATACTTTCAATTTCAATGTTATGTTTTGAGTTGTAAAAATACCCACAAATGTTGAATACATAAAATACGATTACGAAAGAGAACTACAATTTTCTAATGACTAAAAGTGTTCTTTATTTAAAAAAAACAGTTCGAAGTCTTACAGATATTTTCATTGATGACTCAGAAATGAATAATCGAAATTAAGACATTTATCAATCATTTTTATCCTAACATGCCACAATTAAGATTTTGTTTTTTCATCACTACGACACACTTTCTTGTTTAAACTAAATGTATCTTCTCTTTGTTTCTTATTCAATCTCATAAACATGCCGCTCATTAGTTATTTTAATTACTAATCGTTTTATGATTTAAAAACGACAACTATAACCAAAAAAAAAAGTATTTCAAATAAAATCTACAAAATGTGTTACAAATTCTAGAAAGTCGTCCATCATCTTCCATTAAACTACCTACAGCTGGAACATCATGTTGTCTATTTTCACATAACTGTCAACTGTATCCGTGTCAACCAGTCTATGAATATACCAGTTTTGTACAAAAAGAAAATGATCAAACATTACGAAAACGTAATTCATCTATAGGAAATTCTACTAAATCATCTCATACACCACATCTAAAGGACTTATTGACAACTATTCAAGATAGAAAAGATCAACAAAATCGTCGACAATTAGAATTAGTAATGCAAAATCAACATCATTTAGCTCATCGACATGTATCTATGCAAAGAACAATGGCAGTACTTGATGAACAAAGTCGTCAATTACAAGAACGCTTAACCGATAAGAAAACATTCGGTTATAATAAAGAACGTCAACATAAATTATCACAAGCTGTTCAAAGGCATTTAAAAATAACTGCGAAATTTTGCGCATAAAATTAAAAAGAAATAAAAAAGAAAAAGAGAAGAAATTTTATTTAATGTATCCTTATTACTTTTTTTTTCTTTATGTATGAATAATATCATGGAATCCTTTTCAAAATATCTTCGCCAAGCATTATCCAACTGTTCCATATACACTATATAAGTCATTATAGTATTAATAAATAAAAATTTTCAATTAATTAATTTACATTGTCATTAACAGTATGATCACATACATAATTAACAATATCTTCATGGCTGTTAAATATAAGAGATCAGTACCAACACCTAAGCAATGATCATGAATAGTAGCAGTTATTAATTATTCATTCAAGATTTATTAGATAATAAATCAAAGAAAAAAAAAAGGTAAATTTTTATTTACTTTATCGGCGGACCTTAAAGATCATTTGTATTAAGCCCCCCCCCTCCCCCTCAAAAATCGATCTCTGGTCAAGAACATCCAAATTCCATGAAACTTTCAGGATATGTTGGGGCTGGTGAGCCATGGCTATGGTAAAATTTTCAGCCCTATNAATCATGAAAATAAATATTCAATTGCATGTCTTTGAAATACATTAAAATCAGTGTTAAAAATTCGATGAATATTTCACATTTTTCATTTTATTATGAGATACAAAACATGTGAATACAATCGAAAAAGTATTTAAATAATTTAACTCATTAAGGATTACTTCATAAAAGTCTTTCAATAAACAAAAACCGTATCAAACGAAAAAATTGAAAGTACAAACTATTAATAGCCATAGAAGATTATATCTATGCAGAGCTTAAGAAGGTCACGTCAAGACTTCGGAAAGATAAAAGTACGTGTCCCAATACCTCATATATCATTTATATGTCTATTAAATAATGCTAAGTTCAGATAAGACACAGACATATTTCTCATTAACTATTGCGATGCTATCTACGTTACAGAAAATTTTTGATTAAAAAAAAGTATATGCTTTCGCTTTTATGTTTATACATTCAAATTAATTTGACGTACAAATACAAATTATTAGTTAATTAAATAATTTCAAAATAAAAATATATTAACCGATTAATAATTGGTACAATGATTAAACATGCAATCAAGTATCAAAAATACTGAGAAAAATTCTGATAATAAATACACAATAAAATCAATTCTATTTCAATATTCATTTTTGTATGTAATAACTATTTTGATTCTTGATCAACTTAATATTGTCTATATAGAATAATTTATAAGATGATTCAAATATGATTCTTTTCATTATTTTTCAAATAATAGTTTTTGTTGCACTTTTCTTTTCTTTTACTTTGATATTACATTTTAGCAGATTTATAATATCAATGTCATCAATGATAGTTTGTAGGAGAGAATCTATAGCTCAAGATCTATGATAAGAATTGATGGCTTCTATATTCAAGGTACTTATTATTGACTAAGTACAGACTAGTATTATTAATTATCTATTCAAAAAATAAATGTGTGAAATATCAGAAAATGTGTCAACGCAAAATAACTTATTGGCCTTGATTAAAACTTAGAACATTAGAAGAGTAAATTATTTTAGTGATATAAAATAATTCGTTTCTTTTATGCTTATTAACATTATTATACATCGTCTAGTAACAAAAAATAAAATAATTTCATTGTTTTATTGTTTATTACGAATATGTATAGTAATAAAAAATATCTTATGAAACAGTAAAGTAGCTGCTGGGTAAGAATAGACATCGAAGAACATTAGATAAGATTTTCTCCTTGACCATCATAACACACCATATTCCGAACAAGAGCCTATGTCTATCATATATAATTAAATTATCCAACTGGAGCAGATGCATTGAAGGGAAAACAAAACGATTTACTTCTTTTTTTTTTCCAAGGTAATATAATTGAATGAATTATTATATATGTAAAATAATAGACGATAATATTTTTTTGTTAAGTCTGATTCTATTGTCTTTTAAACAAATATTAACATGTGTGGATTAAAATTTTTTTGCTGAAACTCGTATATGTACTATAGCAATTAACTTTATATTTGTCCATATTTAGCAATCTTTATACAAATATAGCATGCTAGTCGAATAAATATATGTTCATTTTGATAACTAAAAAAATATTTTTGTTCATTATTGATCATCAAAACACAAGCCGGCTTCTCCTATTGAAGATTTGATCAATCCTTTACAAACATACAATTTGTAATGTTCAATATGATGACAATATGAAAGTTAACAAAACAGTTTATATAATAGAATGTTTTAATTGATAATTTATTTTTATTTCTTCTTTGTTATATTAGTAGCAACAGCTAGGTTTCGATTATTGAACATGACATCATCCTTGTTCTTTATGAAATTAGATAGAGTTGAACATATACACATGGTGCCATTACATCTGTGTCCAACAGTATACAAGATTCGGTCGAGGTCAATGTATATGTAATAATTGTTGGTCATTATTTTGTTTCAATTACTCAATATACTTCCGTTTATATCGATATGGTGCACTTCAACAATCTATATCTTATTGCACACGATATATACAATTTACTAAAATGGAATGAATGATGTTTATATAAAGATCCATAAATATGTATATTCTTTTATTGTTAGCTTGAACATCATTATAGGTGACGATTGTTCATGGTTTTATGTGTAATGATTATAATACATATGTGTATCAATAATTCAACCAAATAACATTTATCTAATTGATATTACGCCATAGAGGCAAATATATATATTGAATGAAATAGACAGGAAGCGTCTTTCGTCACATTTCGTTGTCAAGTCAAGATTTCTCAGTTGACTGCACAAGATCAGAGAAGTAAAGAACGAAAAGTAAATAATTTAGACATGAGAGCAGTTTTGATTGTCGCCGCGAGCCCACCCGACCATATATATATATACGCATGTGATAATGATGAGAGGAAAAGAGAGCGGGCAAACGAATGGGTGCGATAAGATTGTTTTGAACAAGACATACGTATACAAATGAAATGGACAGCGGGCACACACGTTCCATTTCCGTTTCTACTAGTTCACAGTATGTACGTTCTTAACCATCACTCGATCTGGATCAAGAAATACGCCGCCGCTCTATTCGAAGCCTAAAGGCAACGAACCATACACAGGTTGTTGAAGAGAAAAAAAAATCTAGAAAAATTATTCATATTCTTCTTAATCAGATTGACTTCGAGGTAACAAACTTATATACTAGAACGAAAGCTGTATGTCGATATCCTCCATTTAAAATAGCAATAAGCATTTTATTAATCATCGATCATCGACTAATAATATATATGTACATAGCAATCAAATAATATCTCTTCATCTCTGTTCTCTTTATCAACGATGGAATTTATTCTTTTTCTAGTTTGTTTGCTTGATCGTTATCAGCTTTGCACGACTCACAAAATTAAAATCGATCCATCATAAGAAGAGTTCAATCGACATACTTATAACTGTGTCCATATATGTCTATATGTATGTTCAGTCCTTGATAGTAGACTCGTCTTATCATGTTTTATTCTATATATATATATATATCATTATAACCGTTAACTGACGGACAAGGTTAAACCGTAACAACTAAATATGTAAGAGATTTATGACAGATGTCAATTTTTCAAATGTATCAGACATTTCGCCTTAATTTAGCGCGTCAAGTACTTTCCATTTTTCCATGTCAGTAGCATACTGATCATTCAATCGTTACACTAAATAAGTGGATCACGAATAATTATGAAGACAGAAAAATGATGAGAATTCATCATGTATATATATAAATACATATGTGGTGCAATTTTCTTTCAGATTGAGATAGTATTTTAATTTATAGATCGTGTCGATGATGATGTTGTTGTCGTCGCGTGTATACGCGACATTAAGTGTATCTATTAGAATGAGACTATCCATCTGCCTGCCAACAGAAAGATTAGGTCAGCATGACTTCAATGTTCATGAAAAATAAAGAAGACTTTTATCTTTTTTTTTTTTTGTATTTCTCTACTATTGATCACATGCCGTTCTTATTTTCATGAATTGAATTTCACGTGCCGATAATTTTCACATATGTTGTACATGCACACGCTATTCGACAGGTGTTTTGTTCCATTTTTTTTGTGTTGTTGTTAAAATGAGCTCTTTCTATTGATTTTTATTTAACATAACACGCAAATTTATATCCGTTAGAGATAATTTTCTTTTGTTCTCACCGAGAATAGCTTGTAACGAGTTGTTCATCAATTGAATCTCTCCTCTCTTTCCTCTTTTTTTGTCGTCGTTTTTAATGAAAGAGAGAGAGAGAGAGAGAGCACACGGAGTAAAAGATATAATATTGCTTTTTTCTTTCTCTCTCTCTCTCTCTCTCTCCCTTTGTTGTTCTTCTTGTCTTCATTTCCGAACTAAACAGGTAAATGTGCAGAAGGATGCACTTCATTCCTACTTGCTCATATTCCATCATCATCATTATTTTTTTTTCTTCATCTTAAATATTTGCGTTTTTTCTTCCAAGGTGAATATATTGATGTCGGCTGTACTACCGGCATTTTTTTTTTCTATTGCGTAAGTAAGTGGTCGAGCACCACTTTATGTGTGTATATAGTTCTGCCGTGAAATTAGAGTATATGCGCCTTTCACAGAGAACAACAATCATTTCAATGCATAATAGATCTGCTGTCGCGCATTTGTGTTCACGATAATTGTTAGTCGTGAGAATGTCGTCCAATTCCTTTTTGCTCTCTCCCTCTTTCTTTTCAAGACCCGATTTATATATTGAAGAACGAGATACTTGAGAAGAGTTGCTCGTCTTTCTAGCAATAACCTTCTATTGTTTGGAGATGTGTAAACGAAAAGAGAAAGAAAAAAAAAAGAAAAGAAAAGAAAACGATCTTTGCCCATTTGTGTGAACATACACACACATATTAGATGAGCTGCTTGTGTAACCACTAGCATTGATAGATTTTGTGGTTAATGCCTAGCAATGAAATAAACACGTTCGAAACCCAAAA